CTAAGGTGAACCTATCATGGGGCTTTCTTGGCAAGATTTCTTCAGAGGGGGCTTGCCATTGCCTTTCTCAGAGGCTGAGAGAGTGTGATTTGCCCATGGTCACCCAATGAGCTTCATGGCTGAGAGGGAATCGAACCCTGATCTCCAGAGTTGCAGTCTAATGTTCAAACCACTACACCATGCTGGATCTAAATCACAACTAAGACACAGGCTGCATCTGCACTGCAGAGATAATGCAGTTTGACACCACTTTTAACTGCTGTGGCTCAGTGCTATGGAATTCTGGGATTTGTAATTTTGTGAGATAGTTAGCCTTCTCTGTCGGAGTGCTCTGGTGACCCCACCGAAATACAGATGCTATAGGATGGAGACAGGGCAGTTCATGCGGTATCAAACTGCATTATTTCTGCCGTGTAAATCCACCCATTCTGAATAAGATTTAAAAGATAAAAACCCAACCCTATCCTAAAAAAAAAATAATTAAACCTTTCTGCCCCATAAATTTTCCGCCAAAGACCTGCTTGAATTGAAAGGTCTTTGTCCGCTGGTGGAAAGAGCGCAGAAAGAGGGTGAATTGAATTTTCACAACCTGGTTTGCAAAAGTCTGACTGGCTAATGCAGAATAAACTTCTTGTTGTTTCATCACCTGGGAGCAGCTTCTACAAAGAAGGCCCCATCTCCGGTGTCCTTGCAAACGTGGCTGTGAGGGTGGTGGACCAAAGGCAAGCTTTTTAGTGGTCAGCCCAAATCATTCCTAAGTAATAGCAACTTTTGCCATCATGGCTTCTGAACCTTGATTCTGCAGAACAGTATTGTGTCCTCAGCAATGAAAATGCAGAGGTTGGCACAAGTATAGGCAACATCAGTGCCTTTTCCTCTCCTGTTTCTGGAAAGCCACCCAGAAATTGGGCAAGAGGGCAGTGCCCCATTGGCCTGGTCAGTAGGGCTAAAGATTTGCCCTCCTCTCTCCTAGATGACCAACCCTGCCATCCAGAATGATTTTAGCTACTACAGAAGAACCATCAGCCGAAACCGAATCAACAATTTGCAGGTGAGGAAATGCTTTGCTTGCTTCCCGGTGTTTTGAATTAGGATAGCAAGAATAAAACTGATGGGGAATTCTGAGTTCAACTAAACCATGGGTGATGCAAAGTTCCAGTATTAACAGAAGATTTGCAGAGATGCTAGAGGTCAGTTAGTCTGTTCGCTCTGCAGATAGTAAGCAGGCATAGACAGATTTTGAAATGCCCTGTTCTCCATTTATTCTATTAGTTTAAAACAGATACAGTTAAGATATAAATTAGTATAGCTATGTTTTCTATGTGATGGAACAAGATATATGAAATGCTATAGATTTTATTAGGGTTTATGGAACTGACTGTGTTTTATGATGCTTTGGTTCATTATATACACATTTGCTGGGGTTAGGAGTGCAGGATCTCAGTGAAAGTGGGGAAAATACAAATAAAAAACCATTATTTTTTAACAGAGAGAACAACTCTCTATGCACCTCTAGGTCCTCCGGTGCAACTCTGTGGTCCGCACCTGCCAGAAATTGACCATAAAAATCACACTGGAGGACCTTCAAATGCCTAGAGAAGAGTCCTCTCTTGGAATCTCTAGGTCCTCCATCGTGACTCTATGGTCAACTTTCAGCAGAATCTCTCTGGAGGAAGGACCCAGAGATTCCTAGAGAGAACATATGACTCAAATCCACGAATAATCAAATCTGCAAAAGTCAAATCTGACTGTATGGGAGGAAATGGACTTAAAAAGAACTCCCTATTCCCTTCTCCTGACCCACAGTTAGATGCCGAGAGCGAGGTGAACAACGAAATGGCCAACCGGATGTCGCTCTTCTACGCCGAGGCCACGCCGATGCTGAAAACACTCAGTAACGCCACCACCAAGTTTGTCTCAGAGGTGGGCGATTTGGGGCATATTTGGTATGCTTTCTCCTTGGGAGGATGGAAAATGGAGGAGGATCAGGTGTTCAAAGTGGGTGCCCCTTCTGCTTCGTTTCAGAACAAAACTCTCCCAATAGAGGACACAACCGACTGTTTAAGCACCATGGCCTGCGTCTGCCGAGTGATGCTGGAAACACCGTGAGTGATTGATTGATTGATTGATTGCCTTTCGTTGGGCCGAATGTAGGTCCACCGTCGGCCGACTCACACATTTGCAACAAAATGTGGTTTGGGGTGGGACCGAAGGTGGCTCTTCCATGGGTGTCCTCTCTTCTTTGCCCAGGGAATACCGGAGCCGGTTCACCAACACCGAAACGCTCCTTTTCTGCATGCGGGTGATGGTGGGCGTCATCATCCTCTACGACCACGTCCATCCCGTGGGAGCGTTTGCCAAGACCTCCAAAATCGACGTGAGTGTCCTTGATGGCTTGCTTGAGACAGAAGCAGCCATCTTGGAAGCGCAAGGAAATGAACCTAGACCAAAACCCAAAAAAGACAGCTGTAAGAAGTAGCCTCAGTGAAAGAAGAAAAGCTGTGGATAATGGTTACTTTCCACAGATGCTTTGTGCATTATTCTGTTTTGTGAGTCAGGCGAGCCTTCCATGGTTCTTTCCATACTTCACAGTTATAGCTCCATGATTCCACTTTAACTGCCATGGCAACTTTCTATGCAATCCTGGGATTTGCAGTTTGGTGAGAGAAGACACTAGAGCAATGGTTCCCAAATTTTGATTTTCTAGATCAGCGATTCCCAGACTTTGGTTTTCCAAGTGTTTTGCACTTCAACTCCCAGAAGCCCCAGACAGCTTGACCAACAGTCAGGATTCTGGGAGCTGAAGTCCAAAGCATCTGGAAGACCAAAGTTTGGGAACCACTGTTCGAGATGTTTTGGACTTCAGCTCCCAGAATTCTTAACCGTTGGCCAAACTGACTCAGGCATTTGGGACTTGAAGAACAAAACACCTGGAGGACCAAAGTTTGGGAACCACTGGACTAGAGGAATTTTAAACACCTCTCCCAAAATTGCCATTCCCAAGAATCCATAGGATGTTGCCGTGGCAGTCAAAGTGTTGCTATAATTGTGTGGTATGAAAGGGTCCTTATTTTTACAGGGAAGCAAACACTTCTAGGACTTTTGGGGCAGACGAGAATTAAAAGAGACACATGGGGGGTGGTTGAGGGTAGGGTCTTCCTCTTCCAGTCCGAACTCCCTGTTTCCTTTTGCACCAGCCATATTCATGTGGAATAGAAAAGCCACACCAGGGCCAGAAATGCCGTTGTCCTTCTGACTTTTATGAAACTGTTAATGGGGAGAAAGGCTGCAGGTGGCAAACCTGGTTGAGTTTCTTCAGTTCTCCTTCTTGCTTGTTTGCAATTTGACTCATGATGCATTTCCATTTCCGTTTTTACTGCTCTTAGATGAAAGGATGTATCAAGGTCTTGAAAGACCAGCCTTCCAACAGCACAGAGGGCCTTCTGAATGCACTGAGGTAGGTACGGCAGGCCAAGGGACATGCCCCTTGGCACACAAGATGCCCAGCAAGACTTTTGGAAGGGAAAGGCACGCATGCCCTTTGCACATGCTCTAGAAGCAAGAGAGCATTGGATGGAGTGCCTTTGAAAACTTGGCCAGGGTCCTGGGGCTGTAGGTGATGAGGCCACTATGTCTTTAGATGTCTTCACTGGGATCCTGGACAGCATGGAAGGATGCTCAGCAGCTGAGCCAGTTAAGATCCAGGTCTTCCTAGCTAGAAAGGCAATATTTGTGTTAGCAAATACTGGACAAACCCAGCCTAGCGTGGAGAAACTGACCACGCGCCGGATCTGAATTTGCAGAAGGAACTCTCATGATATCCGATGAAGTAGATAAAGTGTTCCCACAATGTCTTTAGAGGTCTTGTCACCCCCAGAAATAGAGGTGGATGGAAGCAGAGGCTGGAGGCTTCCCTTTTAGTGGTGTGTGTGAGAAAGACAGAGTTAAAGGGGAAAGGACTGATAGACATACAAAGAGAAAGAGAGGGAAGGAGGCAGGGAGAGACCTAGGGTGCATCTACACTGTAGAAATAATGCAGTTTGATATCACTTCCAGTGCTGTAGCTCCATCCCATGCAATCCTAGGATGCGTATCTTTGCAAGATCTTTTGCCTTCTCTGCACCAAAGAGTGCAAGTCTTTAGGATGGAGCCCTGGCAGTCTCCACAAAGTGGTGTCAAAATGCATCATTTAAACGGTGTAGATCAGTGGTTCCCAAACGATGTTCCTCCAGGTGTTTTGGACATCAGCTCCCAGAAGCCCCGAGACTTTTGGCCAGCAGCCAGGAATTCTGGGAGCTGAAGTAATAATAATAATAATAAATTTTTATTTGTAACCCGCCCCTCTGCTCAGCAATTGGGGCGGCGTTCAGCAGTTAAAAAGACAACAATTAAAACTTTCCTTCATCCCACACCCCAACTCTCCCACCCCTTAAAACCGAATTAAACTTCAATAAAATTAAACACCTGGAGGACCGAAGTTTGGGAACCACTGGTGTAGACCTATCCAGAGAGATAGAGAGAGTCCATTATGGATAACAGGCAGATCTTTAAAGGAGCTGTTTGTGGTGCTGAATCCTATCTGCTCCAAAGCACTTTCAGCACCGTGGAGAGCTGTTTTTGAAAGCCAACCACCGGCGTGGGTTCATTGCTCCCCGTGACCGGTCAGCCCCATTTGAGGCTCCGTCTCCCACCCCTTCCCCTCCTCTTCCTCGCCTTCGTCCCGCAGGTACACCACCCGGCACCTCAACGACGACACCACCTCCAAGCAGATCCGGGCCTTGCTGCAGTGAGCCGCGCGGCGGAGGAAGGAAGCTGCTCACCTTCTCTGGAGACCCAGAAGGGAATTTACTCCATGGAACGAACCTTCAGCTGAAAGTTTTAATGTTGACATGTTGCTATAAATAACCATTGGCCCATCATATTTCTCATTTTGTAAAAAAGAAGAAGAAGAAGAGGAAGAAGAAGATGATGATGATATGATAAAAAAAGAGAGAAAAGATGAGGAGGAGGAGGAGGAGGAGAGGAGGAAGAAGGATAGGTGTAAAACGACCACAAGATAATCCAGCCAGCTGAGTGCCAACCTGCTGTGTCTCCCAAGGCAATTCCATGTTCAGCTCAGGCGAAAGCGCATTGCCACGGTCTTCCTCACCTGCTCTGTTTCCGGGCCCACCTGTACAGGTGCAA